GTCAGTAAACATGGTGCCGCGTCACAACAGGCCCTGATTGCACAAGGGGCGGGCGTCATGCCAGGGCCGCTGGCTTGGGGGGGCTAGAAGGGCGTGGGCATGAGTGTGCATGTGTATGCATGCATGTGTTGGGGCTGCGAGGGGGCACAGGGTTCCTTCCAGCCTGCCTGCACTTTAGGGGTCACTCACACCCAAGCCAGGAGGCACTAAGGCACAGCAAGTCCCTTGCCCTCCTACAGAGGTTATTACTGCCCAGATACCCAGCCCCCTCCTCACAGATTTTTTCCCCCCCCCCCCCCCCAAACCCCCCCCCCCCCCCCCCAGCTGCAGTTAGAGAGCCCAGGAGTCCTGGCTTCCAGCCTGCCCCACACCTGTCCCAAAGCTGAGGAAAGATCCCAGGCATCCCAGTACCTAACACATACACAAGCACTGTCGCACGTGTGTGAATGTGTGTGTGAGCACACATATGCTAAACTCATCCCTCCAATCAGCTTTCCTAATCCTGCCCTGCACAGGTGAGCTCCTTTGGCCTAAGCCATGGTCACAGTCCCCCCCACTATGCCTGGGTTCTCTGTCTCTGCTCCAGGAAGGGAGGGGGAGCCTGAAGCCAGGACACCTGGGTTCCATTTCAACTCCCTTAGCCTTACTAGGGTAGCCTGGGCCTGATTAGGGATACAGTTGCCCCCTGATCCTTCCCCTAATGCCCCTTGGTGCCCCCTAATGCCCACTGCTGGCCCCCAATGCCTCCCAGAAGCATGGCACCCCCTGCTGACCTGCTTCCCCCCTGCCCCTCCAACCTCAACTCCACACCTCAGCCCAGTTTTCTAGGTCAAATGTGCTCCTAGACCAGGCCCTGTGCCCAGCTGGCACGTGGAGCAGCCTTGGGGCTGGGCTGGAGCCGCACCCCAGAGCTGGTATGAGGGCGGTACCAGCTACTTCCCAGTCACGTCACCCATCACCCGCTGGGGGGAGGGGAGACAGGTAGGATAGGGGGAACAGGATCTACCCAGGGCTGGGGCTGGCAGCCAGCTCCTGCATGCACCCACCTATACACCCAGTATCCCCTGAATCCAGGACCTGGTGCTTTATCCCCCACTGGGGCCACCCTGGGTCTGTGCCCCCAGCACTGTGATGTCAAGAGCCCTATTAACCCACTGACCTGGGAAGGGCAGGAGGGCAGGGTGTGGTCCTGCCTGAGGCTGGCATCACAGGGGCCAGGGCTGAGAGAAGCTTGGGAAGGCTGCTTCCTGCTCTTGCTGGCCCTGGGGCATAGTAGCCATGGCCGGGGGAGGGGGAAGGGGGGGCACGTGTGTGGGGTAGGGGTGATATCAGGGCAGGATTCTGACCCCCGCCCCCGCCACACACACCACCCAAGGGGTATAAGGCAGCAAAGGGACCCAGGAGTTCTGGCTCCCACCCTCCCCCTCAGGGGCAACCCCAACTCCCCCTCCCAAAACCAGGAGAGAACCCAGGCGTCGGGGCTCCCAGTCCTCCTCTGTTCCAGCCCTCTTGGACCTCCAGCAGCTGGGAAAGAATCCAGGCATCCTGGATCCCAGCCCCCCTGCTATAACCACACAGACCCCATTCATTTTGCAGAGTTGAGGAGACAACCCAGGCATCTGGACTCCCAACTTCCTGCTGCTCTTACCCCCTCCCCTGCCAGACCCCACACCCCTCCTGGAGCTAGGAAAGAGGACCCAGGCATCCAGGCTCCCAGCTCTCCCCATGCTCTAACCCCAAAGCTCCAACACCCCTCCAAGAACTGGGGCTGGAACCCAGGTGTCCAGGAATTGTCCTGTTCCTGCCTGATGGCGGGGTGGGGCACTGCTTCCGGGGCTCTTGGCAGGGCCCCACAGTGCTGCCCTCCAAGCTCCATGGGACCCCGGCTCCTGCCCCCCCAGCGGAGAACCACTGGGGGTATTGTGCAATGCTCAGTTGGGGTGGGGGGAGCCTTGGGCCTGGGCTGTGGGGGGGGAAGCCTGGATTCTTCCCCTCTCCGGGAAGGAAGTGGAGTGTAATTGTTAGAGCGGGGGGGGGGGCACTGAAAGCCAGGACACCTGGGTCCCCTCCCTAGCTGGGGGGGGTTGCTCTGTGGGGGTGAGCATGGGTTTTCTGGAGGTGGGGGCTGGGCTACACACACACGCAACCAGACCTGGCTGCCAGAGTGGTTTTGAGGCTCTCTGAACACGCCTGGTCCTGCAAAAGTAGGTCAAGACTGAGGGGAGTGACCCAGGCAGCAACAGCAGCGTTCATGTGTGTGTGTATGTGTACATGTGTGTGTTTGGGCTCCCATGTCCAGAGGGTGCTGGGCAGGATGATGGAGGGAGCAGGGGGGGGTGGGTGGGTACAGGGCAGCTGACAGGGACAAACCCCCCTCCCTCCCCCCCCAGTCACACACAGTGTGGAGATAACACATAAATATGCCATTTGTGAGGATGGACATATGAGGGCCACACAACAGAGATGCCCAACTGAGACCCACACCCACTTCAAGTGTGTACAGAGCCCACGTGACACAAAAAGGGACATAAATGCACATACACACTGAATTGCATCCATGGAATATCACTGAATTGCATCCATGGACTATGGATGCCCAAGATGCAACAGAAATGCAACTGGTTGGCCCAGAACATGACACACACATGCAGAATGCATACAACATGCACCTGGTGTAGCATGCAACCACCACACACTGCACCCCCCCCACCCCTTAAAGCTTACAGGAGATTTCACTCACACACATAGTGTAACACATGGAATATGCATAGACCATGCAGGCTTGTCCATACCCCAGGATGCACAAAATAGACACATGGTCACACAACCACACACATGCTACACGTGTAAGAAAACAGACAGAGCACACACTAGACACAGGACACAACACACAGCAAGGACCCACTGCACAACACAACACCACACCACACACAAACACAGAGCACAAACTGTCCAGTACAAACTCAACCCACTCCAGACAGACATACACATACATGCACAGTGCCTGCTACAATGCAGTCACAACACATGACATCCATGTCACACAATGAAACATTGCCTAGGAACCCCCACGCACATACCATAGCAACTCCTCACATTCAACCAACCCACACGTGGACATGCAGACACACAAAGCCTAAGCTGGCCATACACCAGACATAAACACACAAGACATGTTTGACACAAAGTGCATGTGGAGGCACAACCTCACAAGATAAGCCTGCACGCACCTATACACTCATATAACAGGCACACACCCCATGCACACACCAACAGCATACACACCTTCACAACATACCCGATGCAACTATGCACACCCCACACACAAACTCACATCCACACTTCCCATGCATGCACACACAACACACTATGCAACCACACAATACATGCACACATAATGTACACCCCCCACAAACCACAACACCCACAATGCAACTACACACACACCATGCACGTGCACCTACCCACAACACACACAATACATGCACACACAGTGTGCACTCCCCCTCAAGCAAACTCTCAATCATGCACACAATGCATGCCTGCCCTCCCCCCCCCCCATAGGATACACACCCTCCTACACACAAACACAACCAAACCCAGGCATAAACAACACACATAATGCATACCTGCACCCCCCACACCACACACAAATACAACCATACACCCCAGGCACACACAATGTACATGATGTGTGCCTGCACCCAATCCCCCCAACACATACACGATACATCCACCCCCACACACACAAACACAACCATACATCCCAAGCACACACAATGTGCACAGTGCATGCCTGCACCCCCCCAAAACACATACATGATACATGCACCCCCCCACACACAAACACAACCATACATCCCAAGCACACACAATGTGCACAGTGCATGCCTGCACCCCCCCAAAACACATACACGATACATACACCCCCCACAACACAAACACAACCATACATCCCAAGCACACACAATGTGCACAGTGCATGCCTGCACCCCCCCAAAACACATACATGATACATGCCCCCCCCCACACACAAACACAACCATACATCCCAAGCACACACAATGTGCACAGTGCATGCCTGCACCCCCCCAAAACACATACATGATACATGCCCCCCCCCACACACAAACACAACCATACATCCCAAGCACACACAATGTGCACAGTGCATGCCTGCACCCCCCCAAAACACATACATGATACATGCCCCCCCCCACACACAAACACAACCATACATCCCAAGCACACACAATGTGCACAGTGCATGCCTGCACCCCCCCAAAACACATACA